GGGGGAGTAAAATACATTATAAATACACACAAATATTTTTAAAAATTTCACACTCAACTCTCAAATCTCAATCTCTCAATCTCTCATTTCCCAATCTATTCATCATTTCATCTCTAATTATCTATTAATAATTTTTAGAGTAAGTTCCATAATTGGTCCTTTATAATAGAGGGGTTTCTCTATTTAGTCCTCTTTTATCAAATACTACCCCAGTGGTCCTTCTTTTATGGGTATCTTTCCACAAATAGTCCTTTTTTTGAGCTTCTATCATGTTGGAGTTAATTTGAGGGCTAAAAGTGTAATTTCACAATGAGAATATATCTTTTTTGTCATACACAATTCCAAAGTTTGTTCCGTTTGCGTCGTTTGTGAATTACATTCGCTTTCTACTACAACCATAGTCTACAAAGGTGGTCTTCCGTCAGAATCCTAGCCCAAAATCATAGTCATTATTTTTGTGTTATTCGCTTCATCAATATTAGAACATGTCACTAGGCATGATGTTGATGTCAAATTATACTTTTAGCCTTTAAATTAACACCCACATGGCGGAAGATTAAAAAAAGGACCATTTGTGGAAAGGCACCCTTAAAAAAGGACTACGAGGGTAATATTTGATAATTAAGGACTAAATATAGAAATCCCCCTGTTATAAAGGACTAATTATAGAATTTACTCTAATTCTTATTATCTCTTTTCAATCTTTATACAATTTATATTCATATAATAATATAAATATATATTAATATATTATATAATCATATATAAATACATTCATTATTCATATAATCATATTATCATATATTATTATTTACTAATATATTATATTATTAATTTTTTATAAATTAATATTATAATTTCGATATTTAATATATAATTAATATTTTAAATATTTAATATAGTCCTTTTTTATCAAAAAAATATTAAAATGTCGCGAGAGTCCGGTAGAAGGTCCGTGGATATGGGCGTCGTGAACCAAAGTTCGAGGAAAGGCAAAGCTAAAGCCACCTCCATTTTCAAAAGAAACAAAAGAAGGGATGACAAGAAGTGCGGATAAAATGGCGTAGTTTCATTTTCAAAAGAAACAAAAGCTGGCGTAGTTTTTGGAACTTGTAATTATTGTGGCACCGTCATTAAAATGGGAATTTCCGGCGGTTATGGTGGTCCGGAAAAACACCTAAGGGCGGGGCACCCCATTGCATACGCCAAATACGCGGCGAAAAAGAAGGGATGACAATAAGTGCAAACCCAAATTTCTCGGTTTACTAACAAGGGTAAAGGTGGTCTTTTTGCTTATAGTGACGAGCAAAATAAGTAAAAAATGGCCGAAATGATTTGTGAAGATAATTTTCTGATACGAAAAGAGTATCGGATAGGAAGAACTTCGAGCGTCTTCAAGCTCCAAATGGAAAACTTCGAGCGTTTCCGGACTCTAGAGAAGAGAATTCTTGATTATTGATTGATTTCCTAATAATAACGAAGGGTTATAATATATAAAGAATGCAAATAACCTAATTGACCTAATGGGCTCGGGCCCATACTTAAACCCTAGACCATCACTAAATAATAATAAATAACTACTAAATAATAATATAACTAATTAAAATATTATAATTAACTATCCATATCATTCCCACCCTCTTAGAAAACCACCTTGTCCTCAAGGTGGAGGTTCCCACTCATGTTTTTGGATAGGTGAGAAAGCGATGAACAAAAGAAGATGTTCACTTGTTGACCAATCTCTACCCGGCTTGACCTTTGGGGCGTGGTGCAGGAAGTATGCGTGACACCCAAAAATATCATGTCTAGCAGCTCCCTTCAAATCTTGATTCTCTGGCTTGATGATAAGGGGGTGGTGAGACATCATGATTGTGCGAGACCAAACTAAAGAAAGAGGGTGTTGGCTATTTGGATCGATGACACATCTCAATGTTTGGCCCTTTGCGACGTCCAGCACAAGGAGTACACCCGAGCTTGTAGTTTGCTTCATCCTCGCCACCAGGGGTTTCCCCCTCTTTCCCCATGGCATCAGACCCACTGTATATGTCATCCTTGGTGTGTGCTCCAGCACTCAATTTCTGAGATCCACCTTTGTCCATGACAACAAGTGTTGGGTGCGCAACTGCTCCTTCCCCTACCTGAATAACTATGTCTTGGGCCTCTTCGGGTATCTTCTCCATAAAGACGTAATGAAAAGGATCAAATCGAATTTTGAACTTGTGCACAAAATCATCCCAATCATTAATGAGCCCGTAATTCATACGCCAACGGAACCAATCTGCAGCGGCCCCTTCCAACATCGATGTCACATATTGCAGACGATCCTTTGAGGGGGTTTCATAATATGCAAAGTATTCTTTTACCAAATGCAACCAACGCACGGGTTCGGAGCCATCACTCTTGGGCATATCCAGCTTCGGTGCATGGGTGACTTCGTTAATGCTACCGCCCGCAAACTTTGCCAAGTGGGTTTGAATTTCCGACAACGCAACATCTATCTGATCAAATCGATCTTCCATTACTTTTTGCACTTGCCCGAACACCCGGCCAATATCACGAACCTGGTTGCAGAGATCTATACCGGTGGATGATGCATGGGGCATGGCGGCACTCCTCAATGTTGCTAATTTCCAAATTTTGTCTTGGTGATCCCCGTTTTTTTCCTTCTCTTGGAGGCAGTGGCCAATTGAATCAATTAGCCCACAATTGAGGCAGATCTGGTAAGCAGCAAAGCTATTTGGCGGAGACGGCGGCGTAATTTCAGCAAGGAGATGTCGATGTTGCCGTCTTGCCGATGAGGGTTTCAATCTGCAAGGCGGCTGGTGGTGGAGATGGGTTGCCGGCGGCGGTAGAACAGGGCAACGTGCGATTTGGGGCGGCACCACGCGATCTAACGGCGGCGATCTGGTTTGAGGTAGGCCGGCGGCAAGCCTTGGAACTCCACTTTGATGACTTCTTGAGGTAGGCCGGCGGCAAGCCCCTGGTTTGAGGTAGACCTTGTTTGACGACTTCTTTGATTTTTTTTATTTGTTTTTTATTTGTTTTTTTGTTTTTTTTGGATTTCTCTCAACGAGAGCACTTTGATACGAAAAGAGTATCGGATAGGAAGAACTTCGAGCGTCTTCAAGCTCCAAATGGAAAACTTCGAGCGTTTCCGGACTCCAGAGAAGAGAATTCTTGATTATTGATTGATTTCCTAATAATAACGAAGGGTTACAATATATAAAGAATGCAAATAACCTAATTGACCTAATGGGCTCGGGCCCATACTTAAACCCTAGACCATCACTAAATAATAATAAATAACTACTAAATAATAATATAACTAATTAAAATATTATAATTAACTATCCATATCATTTTCCATACATATTTTCTGAAAAACAGGGATTTATTGATTATTATCAAAATGCATTAAATCCTCAAGCAAGAGGTTTTTCAAGAAAAACAATTAAGCGAGAAATTATTCGACAGTATAAACTTGAAAAAATGAATTTGGGAAATTTTTTTCTCAATTTTAATTCTCGTGTTACTATTTGTTCTGATATTTGGGGTGAAACATATCATAATTTGTCTTATATGGGCGTTACTTGTCATTGGATAGATAGTGATTGGATAATGCATAAACGTGTTCTTGCATTTCGTGATTTCAATGATTCTCATACTGCTGAAAATATTTTTCTATTGCTTGAGCGTATTATGCGAGAATACAATTTAGTTGATAAAGTGTTTGCATTTGGTTTTGATAATGCTACTAATAATACTGCTGTTATTCCTAGACTTAAAGAAATTTTCCCCGCTACTACGAATATGGGTAGATTTCTACATCAAATGTGTGCTTGTCATGTTTTAAATTTATGTGTTCAATATGGATTAGAAGCTATGGGGGGGTTTTGACGAATATTAAAAATGAAATTAAAAAGACTTGGGGTAGTCATATTAATTCGAAATCCTGGAAGATTCTGTAAATCTAAGGATAGAAGACCAATAACATTTGCCAAAGATATCACCATTAGATGGAATAACACATAGAAGTTGATAGCACAGATTCTAAGCTACAAAGAGGAGCTTGCTGAATTTCTTAGGGATGAACTTCGTTTTATGATTTCATTGAATGAATTTGTTGTTGTTGAAAAATTGAATGCCGTATTAGAAGTTTATAATAACGCAACTCTTACTTTCTCGCATGTTTACCAACCAACTACAAATAGATTTTTTAAAGAGTGTGTTACAATCGCAACATGTTTTCGTGAAAGTTTGGCTGATCCAGATTTGTACCCTTATGTCTCTCCTATGAAAGAAAAATGGTGTGCTTATTATTTGTACATTCCTGATATTTTTAAAATAGGTATTATTTGTGATCCACGCTTTAAGATTGAAAATTATAAAATTTGTACAGTTGTTTTTTAGATGAAAATAATTATTACTACAGCCATTTAATAGAATGCGAAAAAGAAAGAGATAATGCTATTACTCTTTTTGAGGCTTTATTTAAGGAATTTCAAGGGATATACAGTAATGTACCGGAAGAAACAGCACCTCATCCGCCCCCCAAATCAAAAAAAGGTTTTAAAGGAATAGTCGGTGGGCTTCTTGCAAAAAAGGGAAGCATGTTCAGCCTTCGACGAGTTCAGGTGGTACAACTATAAGCTCGCACAACGAACTTGCTATGTACCAATTGGTGCCATGCGGTTAAGATAACGACGACGACGTGGAGTTTGACGTCCTCGGATGGTGGAAGCGGAACGAACACATGTTCCCATGTCTCGGAATGCTAGCAAGACAAGTTTTATCTGTCCCGGTATCAACCGTAGTAGTGGAACAAGAATTCAGTGCTGGCGACAACATTCTAACCGACTACCGAAGTTGCAACACAGATGGAAGCCCTAGTTCTAAGGAATAAGTTATAACTTTTTTTTATGTTAATGTAAATATGTAATTAGTTTTTTTAGGTGAGCAATATATAAGCTCCTTTGAGGGTTTCTTTACGATTCTTTACCTCGTCGCTTTTTTTGAACCGTTAGGATATTAAATGTAGTTGTTTCTCAATTCGTGTATTACTCATTTTACAATATTTAAATAACAACTTCATTTTAGAGTATTTATTTCATTATTTCCTTTAACAATTACACATTTACAATTTTACACTTTTAAAAATTTCAAAAAGAGCAAAAAAAAGAGAGGAGGTTGCCAAAACTGGCTGGTCTGGTACCGGAACCGCCGGTCCGGGTACCGGCACCGGTACCGTCCGGTCCGGTCACGATACGGGTAACAAGGGGTGGCGGTACCGGAACCGTACCGTGTCCATCCCTATGCAAAATTAAAATTTAAATAGGAAACTTTACCAAAATGGTACTAAAACATAATACATTTTCCAATATAGTACCATATATTTTTATTTGCGAATGTAGTACCATTGGTCATTGTCTATTGGTCATTGTGCAAGTAAATGTCCAGGATCATTGGACATTATTCAACTAAATGTTTACCATCACTAGACATTATTCCCATCACTAGACTTTATTCAAGTACTATTTCAGGAATAAAAAAGTTTAAGTACTACATTGAAAAATGACATATGTTTTGTTACTATTTATTGCAAATTTCACATTTAAATGATGTCCAAAATAAATTTAGTGTTTTAGGGTTTGTTTGGTTGGGGTGAATATTTTCAAATTTTTTATCCAATTTCTCTAGTTTAGTAACACAAGTGGTAAACTATCACCCCATTCGAGTTACTTTTATAGAAAATGATTGTAGTAACTTTTATGGAAAAATTTTTATTCACTCCAACCATCGCCCCATTCGCACCTCGTCCCCAAACCCGGCCCTACCACCCCCATGCCCCAACCCTCCCACCCTGCCTCAACCCCTACAGCCCGGAAATCATTTACTCTGAAAAATATTTGTCTTCCTCTAATCAAATACACTCTTAATATGACTTTTAATATTTTGCAACTTGTCTCATATATTCCTTTATTTAGTGTAAAAGTTCAATTCGACTTTTTCAATCAAATTACATATAAACTTTTATCATCAATTAAAAAAATATTATAAAGTATTAATATGGTAAAATAAATAGGTTTTTTTTTTCTTTTTTGAATGGGAACATGCAGAGATTGCTATTGTCCTTCAAAGCCGGCATAATAGATTATTGTTAAAAACTCACCTAGCTTGTTAAAAAGAGACTCTAGATTATATAGAAAATACTTGTAAAAAAAGTATGCTCGTAAATGTCATTAATACGGAAAATCTATATATTTAGTATATTTGTAAATACTATGAATCTCCTTTCAAACGTGGAATAAGAACCTCTTCTTTATAAGTGGAAAAACAATTGCTGGATATTGCAAGAAACTAGAAAAATTGATAGAACTGTAAAAAATAGAGAACACGTACTAGAAAAACTAGAAGAAACTGAACAAATGTTAGAAAAATATGGAAGAAATTAAAAATTATTGAAAAAATGGAAAATGTTGAAATTAATCTTGAACTTCTGAAATTAAAAAAAATGAAAAATTAAAAACTTTGAAATAAATATTATACTTTATATATTCCAAGACCTTCTATTTTAATTATTTGTTATCTAAATGTTTTCACACATTTTTAGGTCTTTTTATTCTTTTCATAATGTAGTAGTATAATTATTACTACCTCCGTCCTAGTGTATTTAACCAATTTAAATTTTTTTGTGCCAAACTGAATGAACTTTAAGTTTCCATTAAATCGTAATGGGAATGTATATTAGTATAAAACTTGCTGGGAATTTTATTATATTTATCTTGTTGAGAACTTTTAAAGTTTTATTTTATCGTAATGATCTATCTGCAATACAAATTAAGAGTAATAGGTTATTAAAAAAATAGCCCTTTTATCCATAGCTTTTGGAACATAGGTTAGTGTCATATAAATTAGTAAACGAAAAAGTTATACTAGTTATATTTAAAAATGGAAGGAAAATAATAATGCATGTGAATCACAAAAATAATGACATGGGAAAAATATAAGTAGACAAATTGAAATAATTTATAAACTATAATAATATTAATAACAACAACAACAATAAGATCTTTGTTAGGATAGTTGCGAGAAGTAGCGAGACAGATCTTTGTTACATGATGAATGAACTTGGATAGTGGGAGACAAAGCCTTCCTCCACCAAAGGCGATGACTTGATGGAGATGCAACATCTTTTGGGCTCTTCCTACCAAGAAGAGCCCCTGGTGGGTACTAGCATTTTTAACAAACGCGCTCTAGATCATGCAGACCTCCTCTCCTACGAGACTGTCAGAAATGGCTATCAAGTTCTCTTCCATCCTTTGCTAACTAACATCTATAACCACCACCTCATTCTCCCAGATCAGTTGATGCCCAACGCCCATGAGACCCGCTCTACTTTCATCCTCCGATGAGTGAAGAAGGGGATTGCCCCAATCTACCACAACTTTTGCCACCTCTTTTGCCTAGGTGGAGTTCTCTATATGCGGATCTACCCCGACAAGAAGCGCATCATATTTGTCAACATTGTCGACAAAGTAGAAAAGTGGGACAAGAAAAGCTTATAGGCAATTTTCCTATAAGAAATTTTACATGGCCTCCACAACATTTTCAACTGGAGCAAGATCGCTCGCGAGAAGTGCGACACTTATCTCGCCGGTAACACCCCGTAACACCCCAACCCACATAACCCGAACAAACAGGTTAGCGAATCGAGTTGCTACTAAATTGGTATCAACATGCAATATTTTCTAATAAATTAAGAACATTTAATTTAAAGCTCAAACCATTTAAAACGATTTAAATACATATCGGAGTTTTTACAAACAATGCCGAAGCTTTATATTTTAATCAAATATCAACTTTACTAAATCCCTGCATCCGTACATCTCCTCCATCATGCTGCTCTCCGGGATGGATTCCAGATCAATCCTTTCACAACCACTTACGTGTAACAAAGGGGAAAATGAGGCTACACGCTCAGCAATGAAGCTGAGTGAGAAATATCTAACAATTCAAACATACTTATAGGCGAATTCACTAATTCATAATTATCACATAATATCATGCACACAACATGCTTGAAAACAATCATACGGCATACAGAATATAACATGCATAATCAACGTCATAACAGTTCATAAGATACAAACAACAACGGTATTTGCATTAGGAACTTTCCTTTTTAGTTTACTTTACTTTCCTTATCATATTTGGCTCTTAACCTATGCTAGGTTAAAGCTTAACTAAATTCGACTTGCCTATAGAGTTATGACCTTCCCCTTCAGAACGAAGGTCAAGCTCAAACTAACTCGGGAGTTCCTCGTTGGGTGAGTGAGATCCATGTCCCCTTTGGCACGACACACGTTTTTACCCGAATAGCCATTGGTGTGTCTGCTAACGGCCAAACATATTTCTATGTGTCGCTGTCGTAACTTGTTTCGAGTCTGCTTCATTTATCTCATCTTGTCGATAAGGGCACGTCGGTACGTCACGTCTTGCTAGATAGATTATTCATCAAGTTCTTTTGATTTGTATCCAGCTACAACTCTACACTAGTATGTGCTGGGAGTAAGTACTACTTTCTTTAATATTCAAACAAGTTCTTTTTTCCCTTTATACATTCATTTTTGTTTGATACCAAAATAAGACTCCCTCATCCATTCAAGTCTGCAGCCCCTTCAGAATTTGGTTATCCATTTCGATGATCAATGAGATAACTGAATATTGGACTAGATTTTTTATTATGTGTACCTTGTTATACTCGTTTGTTTTGTTACCTAGCATCTCAATGTCAAAGTTTATGCTAACAATCACTTTATAGTACTAGGTTCCATCTACAGGATGTGAATTCCTATCTTAGACTATAGTATTTCAGTATGCACAATAGTCAACAATTCACAACTCAACACAGACATTCCAACAGTCAACTTAACAAGATATTCAAACAATCAGCTCATTACAAAAATTTGAGCAATCAGCTCAACACAAATAATTTGAGCAAACGACTTCATACATATATTTGAGCAATCAGCTCGACTCAACTATTTAAGCAATCAGTTTAGTTCAAGCAACTTGAGCAATTAGCTCCATACAAATATTTAAGCAATAAGACAATAATTTATTGCCTTCCCAAAGGCAGAGATGACGTGGAGGATGCGGATGCAGTACTTGGAAATAACTTTTGTCATTGTCATTGTTATCAAAATAATACTATCTCTACTTATTTATTTCCAAAATAGAACTTTGCAATGATCTGAAGACCAATTTTAAAACCATATGCTCCGATACCAAAAAGTAACACCGCATTACCCAAACAAATAGATTAGCGACCCAGGTTGCTACTAAATAGGCATCAACATGCAATATTTTCCAATAAATTAAGAACATTTAATTTAAAGCTCAAATAATTTAAAACGATTTAAATACATGTAAGAGTTTATACAAACAGTGCGGAAGCTTTATAATTTAATCAAATATCAAGTGTATTAAATCCCTGCATCGGTACATCTCCTCCGTCATGCTGCTCTCCGGGATGGATTCCAAATCACTCCTTTCACAACCACCTACGTGTAACAAAGGAGAAAAAGAGGCTAAACGCTCAGCAATGAAGCTGAGTGAGAAATATCTAACAGTTCGAACATACACATAGGCAAATTCACTAATTCACAATTATCGCATGATATCTTGCACACAACATATTTGGCAACAATCATATGGCATACAAGATAAAACATGCATAATCAACGTCATAACAGTTCATAAGATATAAACAACAACGGTATATGTATTAGGAACTTTCCTTTTTAGTTTACTTTACTTTCCTTATCGTACTTGGCTCTTAACCTATGCTAGGTTAAAGCTTATCAGAATTCGACTTGCCTATGGAGTCATGACCTTCCCATTCGGAAAGGTCAAGCTCAAACCAACTTGGAAGTTCCTCATTGGGTGGGTGAGATCCTTGTCCCCTTCAGAATGACAGTTCTTAGATCCCCATGTACACATTTCTACCTGAACAACCATTGGACCAAGCAGGTACCACATGGCTCTAACTTACTATACTTATGGCATACCTTGCCACTAATCCATTTATGTCATTTCGTAAAATTCTTCTAGGTGATATATTACCAACATTCATTAGTCAATACATAATACCACATTCATAAATCCACAATGCATTTAACAAGATATCCAACATAATCAAATAGCAGCCTAACACTGGGTGTAAACACCTATGTTTACCGTCATGCAACACACGGAGTCTCGGAATCAATCCTTAGCGAAAACACATATTGATAGAACTGGGATTAGGTACGAGACAGTACTGTCACGATACGGGGTACCGTCCTCACGTTACCTGGGGTACCGACCGAATCAAATCAACCCTTCCGGTAGGACTGCCACTATAGCCGACTATCGACCAGGCGGTAGGGCCTACCGTCCGTCCGATACCTAGGTACCGTACGGTTGCAGCTACTGGTAGTGGCAAAAGAAACCAACAGAGTGTGACAGTAGCACGGTACCATCCTGGTGTTACCGCCTACCATCTGACGCAACAATTTCCATATTTACACCTATTTCATTTTTCAGCATGAAACCAACAACAATCTTAGAACAACAAAAACCAATAAGTTCATATTAACATTCTAAACATTATGAAGCACATTAACTCGTCAATCAATGACTATATCATGCATACTACCTTTTTAATTCAATGACAATAATTCCTGAAACCATAACCAACAATTACACAAATAAATCACATAGATCAATCACGATAATAAATATGAATGGAATTTCAAACCTAGATGAATATTCTAGGGTTAGATATCCACGTACTCACCTCGGTTGGTTTTGATTTGATTTATCGAAACCTCATTCGAACAAAGTGTTGACCGAGTAAACCGTACCTCGCTGCCCATTATAGTATTGCTGCCCAGACCTGCAACAGCCGCCAAATTTCACCATCACTGCTACCTGGGTCGTCTACTATCCAGACTTGTCGCCGGAGCAGAGGAAGTTGCCATAGCCTGCAGTCTAAGCGTCGTTGCTGATTCGCTGGCTGGTCGTTGTGCCGTCACCGCTACAGCTCGCATTGGAGGAGAAGGTGGATGGGTCCCCACCGCCATTTATTGCCGCCGATCGACTAAGGAATCGGGTCTCATGCGTTGCTCGTGGATCGGAGAAGGAGCAAGAGTGACCGGCGTCCTGATGCTGAGTGAAATGCACCGATTGATGAAAATACGTATCTGTCTTAGCCGATCGAAGAGGAACACAGGAGGCGTCGATCACGTAAGAAGATGCGTGAAATAATCCTTGGGTTTTGTATTCTGTAATTTAAAATAACGTGTCCGAGTAAAGCACACTTTTCGGGCCAACTTGCTCCAAATTGAGATCCGTTCACGTCGTTGGATTCGATTCGTCGATCCCTACCCAATGATATAACTTTTATAATTAATCAACAAGCATTTACCATTTCCACTGGTCCGTCTTAATTCTTTTGATTAATTAGTACCGATCAGTCTTTTACTTTAAATCTTTACAAATAAAATCATATTAGTTTGATTATATTGAGATGATTAAAATTTCTAAAATAACTTTTAATTCTTTACAAGAATAGATTATCATAAACAAATAATTCATATTTATTTAATAATTGATTAACTACTAGACTGGTTTCCAGGGTGTTACACACCCTCTTTCAACACCTGAAATGGGAATAGCCCTTAGAACACGAAGAACGCGACCGACTCTCCATCAAAAGAAGGGTGGGTTTCTACGACCCTCGATTAGATGAGTCTCTAGCTCAAAAGGGTATTGTTGGGCCATCCGACACTTCCCAATAGCCTACAAACACTTTTGCTCCTGGTGCGAAAGATACAAATGACTCCTCCAAAGAGGAAATTTTGGAAGTGGAAGGCTCTTCCTCCAAGAGTGATGAATTACCTAAATATGTCGAGATCCATGGGGAAGACAAATCTTCTAGAAAAGAGCAAGAGGAATCCTCCGAGAATGAGGAAGGTGGAAGCTCCTCTGAAGTTGCCATAGCCACTACAGCCACTCCAATTCAGTACCCCCACTCTAACCGGGGTGGCTGCAACTTTTGTGACAGATGTGCTAGAGTCTTCTTCATTTAATCCCTTATGTATTTCCTTAATTCTTCCTTATTTCAATGCATTTATTATCTTTCACTGTCTTCATGTTTCTTATGTCCACCTAATTAGCATCTGTAGAGGAAGACTAACATTTCTCTCCCCACGTGGGTCTTGAAATGTAAAACACTTGAGGTCCAACTAGAAAAATGTCACAGGACAAAGGTGCCTGAAACCTCCATCACGCCAGACCCCCTTTCAACCCAAAATCATCTAGAAGGCCGCCTGGGAAGGGGGGTCTTGTTTTTCCTCCACAAAAGAGGAGCAGATATGCTCCAAACGATTCAGTGATCCTCCCCTGCTATCGGACACCCAATTCATATGTGCGGCGACTGATCTAAAGGGCAAGCGCCCTGCACTCAATTTTGACTCATGGGCCAGTTCTGCCAAACAATCTGGGACACATTTTGGCTCTTTCCCAGAACTTTCATTGCACTTCACCGGGAAGAGGTACTCAAAATCCCTAGAAAGGTGGCCAACGGTTTTGCCCTTTTGAAAGCTACCTTTCACCGTGTTTGAAAGGGAGCCATTTCCTTAAATAAACGAAGAATGAGGCCCGGACTGAGGCCAAGGGGAAAGATAACCCATATCTTCCAGACCTCTTGCTACTCATCCCGTTGAGCCAACTGGTGACAGTAAGTCGTTAAACTTTATCTAGTTTCCCTTGCAAGCCACACACCTTTTATTTACCTTATTGTTTATACCTATCATCAGCTCAATCAAACCACCTTTTCCCTCTGTCAAGAGTATTATGACTCTATCTCAGACTTTGACCAATATTTCATTGAAGGGAAGGAAAAAGGAGAAACTTTTGAGGGTAAAAGAGGAGCAACTCTTTGAGAACAATGAGTAGACCTGGCCCTTCTTCCCTGGGTAAAAGAGTTGGAGGGGGCCTCCTCTAGCAACCAAAAGACCTTAGAGGAGGTGATCCAAGGCTTATTTCAGGAGAATGAGTGCCTTAAAGGGGATCTCGTCTCCCATGAGGTCCAATTGAAAGAACAAAAGGGAAACAATCCAAGCCTTGAAGTGAGCCCAACATAAAAGGTATGTGTTAGGCGTGTCGTAGCACCTACAAATTAATTTTTTTATTTTCCTTAACTTTTAACCCCCTTTATGATTCAATATTCATCAAAACATATAGATAGAGGGTCGATCCCACTAGGAAAGATACTTTTTATGATATGAAAATCAGTTTACTTTGTCACTTTTATTAAATAAAACACTAACTAAACTAACAAATAATTAAAACTAAAAGATATGGGGGGGTTTGAATGATAATTCTAAAAATATAGATATATGCAAATAAAATAAAGATAAGGATAACAGATAAGAGATTGAACCACAACAGCAAGCTCGAAACTCAGAAGAACACTCAGGGAGAAAACAAACATATAAAAACAATCACACAATAAACTTTATAAAAACGTAGACAATAATAATTAACTTAGACCATTTTGAAAATACTTATAGTTTTTAATAGAAAATAAACTGAACAAATCTGATTGATCAATTGATTATGTCTTAATCCTAAAACTAAACTGTTAATTAAACTCAAGGTTAAGTTGAAGAAAAGATCCACCTGCGGTTCTTCCCTATTTTCCCTAATATAGTCTATGTTAAGACCTGCTATAACTCCAGATCCTAATATTCTTAACAACCCAAGGACCTGCCCCCAAATTTAATTAAAAATAGAGCATTAAGTTCTTTGGAAAACATTACTTAACAACTATGCAGTAGACTATATCTATTTAACATAGCCAGTTTGAAAACTCTGATTAATAAAAACCGGGTGGGAGCCAATTAAGTATTAACTAGGTGACACTTGTGTTTTAAAAATCTCAGCTATGAACGTACTCAAGATCTTAAAACTGTCAATTAGAATTAGAGTTTAGGCGGCCGTCCTAAATTGATCTAATCCAAGTTTAGACAAAGACCAGGTTTCAAACACCTTTTCGAGTTTAGATTTGATAGTAGCGCAAAGGCTAAAACTTCAAAGCCATATTATATAACAAAAACAATCAAGCCAAAGATTCAATTATTTTTGTCAAACAATTCGGCCTAAAAAGGTTTTATAAATTCAGAGACAATAATCAATCAATAAATCATAACTTGAACAATTAAACATCAATACTCAAACAATTCAACACTTTTATAATATAACTTAAACATTCAACACAAAAATAAGATTTGAAAATAAACATATTTAATATTAGACAATCAAATTCATAAATTGGGAAACTTATAAATTGGAAAGTCTTAATTAAAGAATGAATTTAAAAAGGAGAAAATTGCTCCCTGAGTTTCTGTGTTCGTCTGCTGCCGCACAGGATATGCCTAGGGTCGGAGTTGCCGTCCATCGCTTCAATTTCCGTTGCCGGAATTGTTATCGCCGCCGCCGCCGCCGGACCTAGGGTCGAAACCCTAGGCCGGCTCTTCTCTCTCGTAGAATATATAATATTTGAAGAATTGAAAATGTACTCGAAAAATCATTTTTAATTCCAAAATTTTTGAAAAACTTTAGGGTACACAATATTTTTGGTATGGTTGTAAGAGTTTTCATTGTCTTTTAGAACCAATATTTTTAATTATGACTTTGCTTTCACTCGTGAAGTAGTAACATAAAGTTGACCATGAGTAATTACTGAATTGGTGAGAAATTATATAGCAAAAGATAATGTTTGACCTTGAATTTTGTTAATAGTAATAGCTAAACATAAAACTATTTAGAATTGTCTTCTCTAAAATTTCAGGTGTACTCTTAAATCAGATGGTACCAAATTCATTCAGGGCATGTAAACCTTTTTCCCGTTTAGATTTCTTGAAACCTCAATTGCACTTATAATGTTCTTTCACAGCTCTTGAATGATTAATTTTTACCATTATACAATCCATATGTTTGGTTAATGTTCTTCAATAACATAATCGGTACCCCTTTTTAAAAACTTTTTTGTCATTTGGGATCCCCGAACATTTGACTTCATTAAAAAAACTCAACTGTTATCCAATCATCTTCAACAGCGCAGCTACATCTGAATTTGTTTGGCATGAAGAATCAGAACTTAAGTACTCATTTTCACCATCCAGAATAAGGGATAGGACAAATTCATTTATCATTCAACAGACTGAAGCGTGGGTGTTAATAGTGCATTGCCCTAAAAAAAGAATAATTTTTACTCGGTTATATTTTTATTTTTAGTTAATGATTAAAAAATCAAGCAAAATATAATATCCAACTATATAATTTTAGTGAATGAGAGTATACCATAAACATTTACTAACCTGAATTCATCTCTATATAAACTAATAAGAACATGAAAATATAAAAATTAAATCCAAATATTCTAGAAAAGTTCAGGGTAAAGTACATTTTTGGTAAAGTTGTAAGGATTACCGTTGTTATTTAAAATTAACATTTTCAATCATATCTTTGCTTTCACTCGTGAAACTGCAATATAAAATTGACTCTTAGTAAATATTGATATGGTCAAGAATAATCTAACAAATGACAATGTTCAGCTTTGACTCTTATTGATAGTCATGCAAGGATATGTAGCTAGGTCATTGCTTGAGAATATAGATTTCCTTTGAGTACGAAGAAGTATAAATATATTTAGGCAAATATAAAAACAATCAAATATAGTATTTGTATATGAACTTTATAGTTATTATTTCTCTTTAAAAATTGGCGTTATTGATTTTATATTTAACACATGTTTTTTTATTTCATTGACGCAAGGCTATATTCATTTTTTATGAGGAAAGGTTGGCTCCTTTTTTAGCTTGAATGAAATAAGGGATCTAAATTAAAATATATTTGGTGGTAGAATATGTTAAGGAGAGATTTTGTAAGGAATGTTTTTTAATTCCAATTTTTGTTTTTCCAAATTTGTAATTTGAATTCCATGACTTATTAATTAGAAGATTTCTTGTCATTTTACGATAAATGCAAAGATTTTTTTGTCTAAATAATTTTAGAGTGTTACGGAGTATAATAGTACCCTCATTATGGTCAAATTTACTCTATTTTCTTATGACCGATTATTGTAATTTTTTCTTTGTAACATTACAACACATTTTTAATCTTGCATTGTTCAAACTATTTTACATGTAAATCTTTTTATTTGTATATTTTGTTGGGTAAGAAACAAATCTATATATCAAATACCATTTGCACCGCAATTGGACAAACATTCAATTACAATTTTATTTGAAATTAGTCAAAAATGAACTGTGTAAAATTTAATGCTCAACCATCTATGTGATATTCCAAACACTTTTTCATGATCTATTAATCAATAATCTATTATTTTACACAAAGTTCTCTCATTATTCAATATTGAGTGCATGAGCAATTTAAATAAAATCATAAACAACAATATAAAGCAAAAATTTGGTTTAAAAAAGTTGTTATCAAGCTGAAAAAATTTGAATAATCTTATTATAGTCAAGTTTGTAAATATTTGATCAAGTTCATAAGAAATTTAAAAAAGTTGGCGTCATTATTTTTTTTTTGAAAATTTTCAATAAATATATTAAGCATAACATTCTTTGAATTTTTAGATATTTATATCAAAATATTTTAAGTTGGGCATAATGTACACTACCAACCATTGAGAAGAATTTGGCACACAAAAATATGGGAAAACAAACTACAACTTTGTATCATGTGTGACAAAAGTGACAGGTTACATACACTGTACCAATTGACAATTCATAGAATAGAAAAAGGCACAAGCAGAAAGAAAGAAAGAAAGAGAGATAAGCATATGACTACTGTATATACTCAAGCACTGATGATAATATTATTACTTTTCATCCTTTAACTGATAAATGTATTTCTTAAAACATATACTCTTGAGAAACCATGCTGCTGGTTTGAAATGGTTGAAGCTGGTCTTAAATTTGACAGTGGATGCCATAGATGCGCTGTTCTTAGCACAATTCACACACTATGCATCATCTCCATATAGTAGTAACACACTATGTATTCTCCATCACAATCTTTGTCTTTTATGCATCCCCTGCAACTCCTAGCTAGATTATGTCCTAGCCATAATTAAAAGCCGTTAAACACAACCAAGCAAAATGACCACTTCTTCAATCAAAAAGGCCTCTAGTCATCTCAATCCTTGCAATAGAATGAGATGTAGCCATCTGTTGCAACAGTTGATCTTTACAAATGACTCATGCAAAAGAACACTAAAGGCTAGGCCAAGAAATGTTATGTGAAGGAAAGAATCAAGCAGCAAATAAGAACCCAGAACTACTTACAAAGGCTAAAACTAAAACAAACCATTTCAGAAAAAAATAGAGAAGAAAGTACGCTATATTGAAAACGCCTAACCCCCTTCGAAAGCGGACAATAACAGCCCATATGCCAACTCCAATTGCCCCGTCTATAGGTGTTTGAATCCTTTATATATAAAAAGGAGACTCCGAGCTACAAGAACGTGACATTTGGCAGAGCTAAAGCGCGACATGTGGCAGAGCTAAAACACGACACGTGGTAGAGTTGATGTGTCACCCTTTTAGACAAATCGGTCGGTCGAACCAGTCGGACCAGTTTTTTTTTTTTTTTGCAATTTTTTTCCAAAAGCATACCACCATGGGGTTTGAACCCAAGATCTCTTAGTCAATTAGGTGAGTTCCTTACCATCCAAGCTAGAGTGATTTTTGTTACAATTTCACTTAACATTTTATAATATTTCATAATTAAAAAAGGATTGTATAAAAATTTCTTTTTAGTTATAAACAATATAATCCTTTAATATAATATTTGAGACTCCGTTTGCTAGAAAGTCGCCAAGTGTCAAGCTTCTGTGGGCTATATTAAGGTGAGATCGCAAGCCTTTATTGGTTGCTTATGTGGCAAATTTTATTAATGATGAATTGACCTTTCTTTTTATTTTAAAATAGAAATTTAATATTGATTTCAAATTTTGGAAAAATTTTACTTAAAAAGATTTAGGACAAATAAAGAATTCATTACTTCGTGACATTAGTTGAGTTTTTATATTTTTTATTTTTAAAAAGCAATTCATTTATTTATTTGTTATGTTGTGATAAAATTAATTAATTATGTTATAAAATCAAATTTGTGAAAGATAAATATAGTATTGTCCGAAATAAAATTATTAAAGGAAAAGCAATTATATAAAATATAATTTTATGATAAAACTTATTATGATGTAGCAAAAAATTAGTGAAAATATAAAATTGGTATTATCACTTACCATTTCTAGACTAGCATTTTTATGAATCAAATTTTTAACTAAGTGAATACACAAAAAACAAAATTTTGATAATGATATATTTTCATCTAAAAGTATTCTTATATATATGAAAGAACAAATATGTTTATAAATGATCCTTTATTTATAAAATTGATATTTTA